CTCGGCGCGTTTTGCATGAAGATGGCGGCTCCCACCGCCAGCAAGGCAGCCTCCCTGGGCTGCAACAACAAGCCTGCCTTCCCGGAGCTGGATTTCAGGTCTGGAGCTCGGGTGGAGGAACTGAACAAACTCATCCAGGAATTCACCAGGCACGACCAGCGAGAATACGACGACCAGAGAGCGTTGGAGATCCACACTGCCAAGGATTTCATCTTTTCCATGCTGGGTGAGGCGAGGGGGTTGGCGGTGGATGTGTGCGTGTGCGGCGTGTGTGCGAGGGTGAGATGGAGCGCGGATGGGGAGCTCTGGTCCCCGCTCTGGCGCTTGCCCGGGGTGTCACCCCCGGCTCCCGCGAGGTCCCCTTTCCTCCCCAGCGCCAGCCCAACCGCCCCCTCCGCTCCTGCCTGCCCTCGGCGCGGGGTGCCCCTCTCCTTGCCCATCGCCCCGCTCTTTTGTTGGTTCCTCGGCCGCGGGGCTGGCGGGCAGGTGAGGCGGCTGCGGGAGACGCCTCCAGGCACGGGGAGCCCCCGAAGCGGCTCTGGCCGGATGACACCGGGTCCCCTGCAAGCCCGGGCAGCCCGGGCAGCGAGCGGAGGCCGACCTGCGCCCGAGCGACAAGTTGCTTCTGTCGTGGCTGCGGCGCGGCGCTGTCACGCCGAGCCCCGGGTGGCCAAACTTGTTGGGTGTTCCAGAGTAACCTGCGGAAGTAGTCGGGGCGCCCGGAGTTGCGGCAACTTTGATTTGCAAAACGACTTCCCTTGGAGGGGGTCGGAAGCATTTCCGGTGCTTATTTAGGGTTGTTGCTGAGCTGGGAATTCCTAATTCCTTGCTCGAAAATGACCGGGCTCAGGGCTCTGGCCGCGGAGGAGCGCTGTCCCCCTCGTCTTTGTGTATTGTCCTAGTGCTGGCCTGGAGGTGCCCAAGTTTCCCACTCCGAGCAGCCCTGGGTTAGAAAAATTTTCCCCACCGTGTCCCCCAGTTCCTCACCTACCGGCCGAGAAAGGTAAAAGAAAAAGGATGGGTTCTGGCGGATCCAACCCTATCCCTGGCACCCTGCGGTGGGATTATTGCTTCTGAGTTGTAGAGTGAGCATCCGCTGCCGAGAGCCTCGAGTGTAACGCTGTCATGCAGCAGAGGTGGCCCCGTGGCTTACGTTCAGCAGGGCTGGACTGGGGGAGCCGTGTTCTATAAAGGTTTCCACAGTCAAAATTTTCAGATAGTGGTAAAGGCGATTGGCAGAGGCTTTGTGACCACAGGACAGAGTCTTTGCATTCTCTTGCGATCTGACGAGATTGCAGCCGCTCCACTGTTGCAGTCTCTCCCTCGGGGGTTTTCTCCCTTCAGATTTCGTTGCTCCTCGTAGCTTCAAGTCGAAGCGATACAGATTGAATGTGGTCCACCGGTACTACGAAGAATTAGGCAAACTGAACGGGCCGTGTTCAACTCGGGGCTATGTTTTCCCTTTGCAGGTCATCCCACAAGTGTATTCCAGGGGGTGAATGTGGCTGAAAAGGTCTTTATTGGGATGTTTGACTGTTCAAGTGTTTAACTGATCTAGTATGTTAATCCAGCATGTGGTGGGAGTCAGCGTTCAGAAAGGAGGTTGAAAGCCCTTACAGAACCCCCACATCTCAAAACCTGATCGGTAGTTGTCAGGAAGACTGGGGTGGGAGGGCACACAGAAAGCTCCAGACAGTTATTTAAGTTGCTTAATCATGGCCTTTCTCTTTGCCATAGCTAACCACTGCCTGCCATTATGTTACCATAACCACCCCCCCCCGCCCCTTGTCTGTCTCTAGAGGTAGTGAGGATAGTCATGGATCAGAAAGTGGGAGGTGATGGGAGGGATAATTGCAAATGCCTGGCTCAGTGGGAACTTCTTCCATACAGTGAATTAGTCAGGTCTAAAGCCATACCAAGGGTAAGTTATCCCAGGGCACGTAATTTATGCGTGTGCTTAATGTCACCAGTGGCACTGTGCTGACAGGTAAACAAGATTTGCTTCTCTTCCTTTTCAGTCTCTTGACCTTGGAAGGGATTCACCCCACCCCCACCCTGGGACTTTGGCATTTCTACCTGCAAGAGAGAGAGAGAGAGTGAGCTCAGGAGTGTCAGCTAAGCCCTTTGCCCCTCTGGATACAACCAGGCAGATGGCGAAATGAGCTTGCCTGTGTGTGGTGCTGCATTCATTTTCCAATCCCCTGGTTTCCTTTAATGAGGCACACTGGCTGTGGTAGACAAGGGAAGGTTTGGTGACAGCAAAGGTCCCCGTGTGGATTTACTTTTTCTAAAGCAGATTTTCGCTTGGCTTAAGAAACCAAATCTCTCTTTGTACACTCTATTTCAATTGCTGTGGTCTGGAGTCGTTCATGAATATGCAGATGAGGTGTCTTGATGACCCCAAGCTTGTTAAGGTGCCACTTGGGCGATATCAGGTCTCCTCATTTTCAGGGAGTTGTTGGGGGTTAGTTCTCTTGGCTTTGTTCTGCCTCTGTCAGAACCTCACCTGAGGATTGTCAGCAGCTTTAGAAAACATTATCCTCTCAGTCGGGATGAAGTGGCAAAGGCGTCTGTCCAATCCTCTTTAATGGAAATGTGGATAGTATGACGGCCAGCCAAGCTCCTGTGTTACAAGGTCCTTACCTCAGGTTCAGGCCCTCGTAGCTCCCCACCTTTTCATTTCATCTGGTTTGGAGGGGGGAGTTCTGCAGATGAGTGAAGGAAGTAGACATCTTGATCAGTTAGTGACCCCTTCAGTGTCAGGACACCCACTGTCCTGTCAAAGCATGGATCTGCACAGGCCGAGCCTGCTGCGGGATCATTCGAGACTCTGGGATTTGTTCTTTGTGCAGAGATTCCGGTTTCTTTGGAGGCCAGGTGCTGGCTGGAATCATGAATCACTTCTCTCTCTCTCTCTCTCTCCACCTTGTTCTTTTAGGAGAATGATTGCTGATATTATCTAGTTAATATTTGAGGGACCAGACTGTGTCGGGAGGCTGGCAGTACGTAATCAACACCGTTTATCCAAATTCAGAGAAATTGCCAGAGTTCATTAATGTTTTAGTAATATTTGGTATTTGCATGCGATCTCTGGTGGATCTTTTGTTATCTTCATTCCCTCGTGAGGTTGGATGGAGACTGAGGGTGTTTCTGTGGAGCGCATGTGGAAAAGAGGGGCTGTTTAGGAGACGGAGAAGGCATCGGGAGACAGGTAGTCGCCCACAGACGAGGGCTAGATGCCACGGCCTGGTCAGAAGAGTAGCTGTCATTTGCTGACCACCTTCTCAGGGCAGGAGCCCCACAGGTCTTTTTGGAGCAGGGGTTGCGTTCCCATTTCACAGGTGAAGATGCCGAAAGTGAACGGGATGAAGAAGCACAGTTGAGTGGCTAGTAAGTTGTAGTTACTCTGAAGAGGAGTTCCTCTCCTACTTGAGTCCATTAACAGTAGAAGCATGGGACTCAGGGAAGGGAAAACTTTGCTTTCAGAAATCACTCGTTTCGGGATTTTTGCTTCTGTTTTGAGCCGAGAGTCTTTACCTAATGCAAGCGGCCTCTGTGGTGATTGTGGAAACACTCGGAGTTCAAGTATTTTATTCCGAGGCAAGATCACCTATTTGAATTCCTGATTGGGGAAAAGAAGAAATCACAGTGGCTGTCGTAGAAACTGTAGCTGCAGCCCCGCTCTGCCCCTTGCTGGCTGTGCGGTATTAGTTTTCTTTTTTAATCTTTTAGACATGGATAACAGGAATGCATCCTTCCAGCGTGTTATCTGCATGTAAGATTCACTTTGCTAACTGGAGAAGAGGTGTAACATGATTTTATGACTTGTTTGAAGAAACGGTCTATATTAGGGAACCCAGTGATGTTCACCTGGAATAACTCCCGCAGTGTCGCTTCAGGAAGACGTATGGAGGACGGTTTGCGCTAGCCTCGAGGGTGAAGGCTGTGGCTGAAGAGAACATGGTTAATTCCAATACTCAGCATGTATTTGTGAACCTTGTAGTGTGGGCCTGCTATGAAGTTAGCTCCCTTTACCTAAATCTCTCAGCCCCTGTAATCTGACATCCTTGAGGATGTGTCACATCCTTTTGAAGATAAAGCAGATGCCATCTTAAAGATGGTACGCTGAGGTGTGAAGAGGTCGACTTCTTACACCGGGATCACATGGAGCTTTAGTTTTGACCGGCTGCTTTTTGCTGATATGTTAGACCCAGGGGTTCTTGATGCAAAAGCTTGCATCCCTTTCACCCTGCCATCTCTCTTTGCTCAGACAACTAGAAGCATGGGGAATAGTCCGCTTACTAGACTGCTTTGTCCTTAAGAGGAAGGGGTGTGTGTGTGTGTGCAATTTGTCCATTGGTTGCTGTCTGTTGCTTTCTGTTCCTCTTCCCTGTACACCCCTCACCCAGCAAGTACTGTTTGCTTCAGCAGGAATCTGAGAATAAATTAGGGATCAAAAACTTTGGGAAATTCACCTGGGTCTGTTTTGACCCCACCCATCCTCCCACCCCTTCATGTACACTCATTCTAAGAAACTGGCTGTCCCCAACCAGCCCAATAAATACCATCTGGTCCCTTCAGAGTACTTCTGAGTGCTCCTGGACCTACCAGATTTCTAGGCAGTTTTTACAGCTTCTGAGTGCAGGCCATTTGGAAGCGGTGACTTTCTGATCTACGAATGCCAGTTTACACAGCAGTGTTTATTGCAAATGTTGCCTTGTCTTTCCCCTCCTCTGCTTGGGAGCTTCCTTAGAGTTGTATTTACTAGTGCGCTGCTATTCCCTTATAATTCTAAGGTGATTTCAGTTGGTTCTCAGCAGAGTGACCTTCATCCTCAGGAGAAGAGTGTTGGAGCTGCTGTGAGTCCTGGGTCTTGTGGCGCTAGTGCCATCCTTGGACACTGTACTGCTCCCGGTTGGGTTAAGCCTCTTTTGTGTTCTCACAGCCTGTCAGAGTCCCTCTTGTCAAACTGAAAACTTGCCATTGAATGTGAAGCCCTTTCACTTCTCCTGGGGAGCTTTAGAAAAATTCAGACTTCCTGGTCCCATTTCACATCTATTGATTCAGAATCCCCAAAGATCTCCAAAGTGGGCGTTCAGCACTTCTCTCTGTCTGCCGTCTGCCTTACAGGCTGTGCATCCTCTGTCTACTAGAGCTGTCCCTAAACGCATTCTCTGTGGCTGTCTTTGGAGACTAGGTCCACACTGCTGAGCCCAGTGAGTGAAA